CTCGCCATGCGTCGGTCGATTGGCGATATTGCACCTGAGTTCTCCATTGTCATCAGCTTTGCGTTGATCTCGCGTGTCAGTGTTTTTCTAGGGTTGGACTTTTATGGGACGTAGGACTGACGATCGTCTACAAATTTTGAGCTTTGCGAATGCAGTCTATCCTGTCCAATACGATAGTGGACCGCCCTTGTCCGCCGGCACGATAACGAGATCACTCAGGAGAAGAGGATGTGGTCACCGGAACAAGAGTTTTCCTGACGTTTCGGATTCCCTCGGGAATCCTTAATCATAGGTGATGATAACACAGTGACGTTTCGGATTCCCTCGGGAATCCTTAATCATAGGTGATGATAACATAATCATTTTCATGCGCATGACCATGACTATGTTATCATAACCTATAATTAAAATAAGGTCATTGATTATGATCATTTTTAAGAAGGAAATCAATGTAATTCGGAGATAAGTAAACCGAGGAAACCAACTGGATAGAGACAAATCTTCATCTTCTTGCGTAAATGGCAAGTTTGTTGCGACCTGTGGTAAACATTTATTGCTAACCAATTACCCTTGTGCAAATTTTTAGATTACACAAACAATATAAACTAGTGCATCCACAAAATGTTGAGACTTCTCATCAGCTGCTTCTGCTCACTGAAGAAGATGAGAAACGTATGCGAAAATACAAAAGTGAATTTGGGCAGAAAATGTCAATAAGGTCATAGAACCTGGCCACGAAGGCTAGTTAGTTAAGTAAGCATGCTAAAAATGTAAAGGTGGGAACAAACGTTATATTTTAAAGGTAGATTGGGAATGTCTTACTCAGGGAGACGGATGTTACTAGCGTAAAGTTAGGTTACCCATAAGCTGTAACTGTTTACATACGTGAGTTTTGACTACCGTATGTCTGCCTACAGGTAGCGCAAGGTACGTGTTGTTCGTGCCTGATCAAGTACACGGAAATAAATTTTGGGATCCACATAATTACCCCTATCTAGCAAGTGTTCG